CGATCGATCCATAACAAAATTGCGATTGGTATGGCGAAAGTTAACACGGCTGACGACTATCAATAAGGTTGAAGTAATAATTGGCGTGTGTTCTCGCCATTTATCGCAGTATCCCCACGAAACGGGTGAAAAGAGCAAGCCAAATGGAACTAAGTCCACACATTAAAAATGAAAAACAGTGCTCATTTTTGGCGAATTAGAGTAGATCAATAATAATCCAACAAAAACGGGTTACTAAGTGCATTCATTTCAATGTAAACGAGTGTACCTGTCTGCGCTCATCTTAAAATCCCCTGAAGGAGAACGAAAATTCGGTGACGTAATTTCCCAGTTTTCTAAATCAATTGAGTCGAAAACGGGCTTATTAATATTAGTTCATTTCCCTTTGGGTTACAGATTACTGAAAAAATTTTGGCAGTCCAGTTTTGAATGAAATTCCATTGAGCGCTTCAATCAAGTTGGTTCGAAAATGACTGAATGAACTGTATTATGATTTTACAACTTAATATCCGTCAAACGAGCGTTATTTTGGATTGCATGCAAGCCTGTTTCTTTTATTCCAAGAAGCACGAAGTCGCTTTATATATATACAATGAAGAGAATCTTAATATCACAAATAATGTACAAAAGCCAACTGATAATGTGCAATAGTTAACGTTTTAGAAAGTTGGTACTGAGTTCACCACGCTGACGACTACTGGCCTTACGATGAATGCTGTCCTCTATCGTGCTGCGCTGAGTATGATCATTTTTCATTTGGCGAATAAAAGACGCCCCGTGTCGACTCCGAGCCTCAGCCTCCTTAGTTTCTTGTTCTTTTTTCTGCAAATAATGATGGCTAGTACGTAGACTACGGTCTTTTGCGTGCTCCTTGGCGTCGTTCATCATTTGCAGTCGTCGAGCCTCAAGTTCGTCGCGCGTCAACTTGGGTTTCTCTGGCGGCCTTGCGTGAGAAGTTGTCGGACGACCGTCCCGACGAGGGACCTCAGCGTGCTTATCATAACGTGGCTTGGATTCCGTACTGTCAGACTGTTCCCCGTGATGCTTCGCGTCAATTTCATCGGACTGTCGAACGATTTTGATAAATTTATCGAGCAGTTCGTCACCGGAACTACTTTCTGAACTCGAACTCCTTGAGCGACTCCGCCTCTTCTTCTTCAATCGTTTTTCTTTCAATTTCTTTTCTTTCATATGTTTTTGCATCGTCAGCTGCGATGATAGATGTTGTGAATTTAGAGAATATCAATTACCAGTCTACGAAGCTTTTTCACTTTGGCAGTATTACGTAGTAATTCCAATCGCTTCTCCGATTCGCGCTGCCTGGAAATAACAACCAATAATGCATTTAAGTGCACCAAATCTCACTTCATTACAGTAAGCGGATCTTCTCGAAATTTGGTCTCCATATCAATACGTGCAAGCCTCTGAGCTGGTGATTCCTCATAGTCTGCAAAAAACCTCTACACGAAACCGAATCTTACCTTGTCCAAGCTTCTCGATTTGGTCAATGCTAGTCACTTCTTTTCCAAGGAGATAAGATTCTGTATCATTTTTCGGTGGATTGTACATCCAACTGATGTCATCTTGACTTCTCCGGAAAATAGCACAAAATCGACATCTAACTTACTTTTCTTTTTTGAGCAGTGCAGCTATCTTAGATCGTTCGCTGGAAGGCTAACAAAGATAGAACAGTGTATACTTTTGAGAGGCATACATTTGAGATATAAGACAGCTAACCCTTCAGTCACCTATTCATTAGGTACTTTTGATCTTCACACAAAAATGTGTTTAAAAAACACGCATACCTTTGATGTATGGAACACACTACTCGGATGAGAGCACAACACTAACGTATGTTCGTTGTTTCAAGGTTAATATAATTACGATACGCGTTTATCATCATCATCATCGGACAGTGTCATACAGTGAAGCGAACTTCACTGATTGCTGCTAAACCCATATTCCACGCAAGGTAAATGAGAATGTATAAGGAGGACAGAGAGTTGAGCTATTTTCAAGGACGGGAAAAGAAAACGACCCTCTATGGTCAACACACAGAGTAAACGGTAAAACTTTGTATGCACACCTTTTCAAGCATTCTGTTCTGATAAGAACTGACAACAGGATCGCCACTGTTGTCGGTTTGCTGCCATAACGTTCAGTGTCTCCACCCATCTAGTAACGGCGTCTTTTGGACTCCGATTTGGCAACCGGAGTAACCTAGTTTATCTAATCCCTCAGTGTATTTCTCCATGCTCAGTCTCCACGGCATCTGCCAGAATCCGCGTGGCTTTCTCCAGTCTGCAACGGTCAATGCAAATAAGAGACGGTGCGGTGGGCGACACTTAGACATACGCAAAACGTGTCCTAACCAACGGAGCTTACTGAGCTAAATTTGATGCGATGGCCAGTTCACGTTCGATGCATGACCAACCCGCTCACTGCATCCTACCTAGACCAGACTACGTATCTATTGGTTGTCCAAAACCACCAGGTGGCGGATGTCTTTTGTCCG